TCTCTGTTGTTTAGAATAGGCATGAAGGGGAATTCCCAAGTTATACCTTTGTCATATAGGTAATCTTACAATATTTTCATGTTCTTTATTTTAGTTAAATAACAGATATAAAGTGATGAATTAATACACTAGACACATGGTTTTATTTGAACACTTTATTATGACATCGTAAAGTGAGGAATAAGAACACTAAACACAAGGCTTTATTCGTAGGCCTAGGCCTAGATGCTAGGTGTAGCCTAGGTATCATCGTTCATTCGTACATACGTTTATTGAGCGTTACGTACGTATTAGGTCAAAGGTTACCACAAATTTAACCCAACCTCTCTTTTACGAATCCCCCGATTTACGTACGCCCTCTGGTCCCGTACCGTACGTAAAATCGAGGTTCTACTGTAATATAAGCTTTATTTAAAACACTCGGGAAAACTTAGCTCAACAAACAGTTGTTTTTCTGCAAGGCTGTGAATACAAACATTTACAGAAACCAGAAATCAAAAGAAACTAAGAAATAAAACCTAAAGTTAACTAACAATTGTTTAACTACCAAATATCTTAACTACACTACATCTTAACCCTTTCACCTAAAAGTTTCATAAACAAATTGAGAGAAATATAATTAAATATCATTTTTTCTATAAGAGAAATAAAATAGTGTTTGATAACAAATGAAAGATAATACATTTTTTTCTAAATATGCTACTATTTAGTCTCATGAAATTATTTAAAAAAATTAAAAATTAATTATTTTAATTAATTTTTATAATTAATGTTTATGAATAATTTTGAAAAAAAAAATGAAAATACCTAGTCAACAGCCAGAATAAAAAAAATCATCTCCACATCAGCACAAATTATTCCTTTACAAAATAAAACTAAATTTGAATTTATTGATCAAGAACTTTTGAAAAAAAAAATGATATAAATTTTCACCCCAAGGGGGGCCTGGCCAATCCCCCTAGGCCTACAATTTGTTCAATGACCTTCTCTGCACTGCCAAGCATAGCGTGATAAGCCTAACTTATATCCGCCTAGCGCCCGTTCAAGGTTGTGGGAAAACTGCACCTAGTATCTTTCAAAAATCCAGTTAGTGTCAAAAAGAAATAATGAAAAAGTATGAAATATTACGATAATATAGTATTATGACCCATCATATTGTTCCTTGCGCCATCATATTGTTCCTTGCGCTGTTACCGATCTGAACGTGAAGATTGCACAGGTCAGGATTTAAACGGTCATGTCGAAGTTCGTTTTCATTTTTTGTAAACAACCAAGATGGCGCAGGCAGAATTGAAAGCCATGTTGTTTTTTTCAGCCACAAAAAAAGAAATTTTATGTGGAAATATGTGGATATAAATAATACTCAAAACTGGTACAGTATGTATATTGAATATATATTTATTGTCAAAAAGTGTCAGAATAGTTACTTTTTGAAAATGAAGTGTATTTTTATTCATCAGTGTTGATGGCGGTGCCTCCCCTTTCAAGGGTATCATATTACAAAATCAACGATCATATGAGGCATGTTGTACTGGCAAAATGGCTAAGTTGTAGCAAAAATTGAAAATCAAGTTATTGGTATTTTCAGATACCTGAGTATGTGATCTTTAAAATGAAGGTACTCATTCATTGAAATTGGACATTTCAAGCCTAAGTTATTAGAAAATAAATGTACAGTACTCTTAATCAAGATAAACATGATTTTGTGTAATTGCCTTTCAAAGTTATTTGTGCATACATTGTTTAATAGAATGAACTATCAACATAACATTAAATAAACAATTTGTTGACCACTTCCAGAACTAATACTTTGGTACATGATTAATAAGACATTAAACTGTTGATCTATAATGCAAAACAAATTTGGATTTTTAGGCGATTTTTTGAGCTCCCATTTACTCAATACTGGCCTATGCGAAAACTTGACCATTTCGCCACGACATGCCTCATATTTCATATTGTTAATTACTCTTATTCAAATTGATTAAAAATGCAATAAGAAACATTTTTTAATAAACATTTTTGATATTTTCTCGAACATTTAGTGAAAATACATGCACACAATACTGCACATACGATTTTTTGTTAATTAATTAATTAAGATAATTGGCAAGCGCTTGAAGCGCTTCTGTAAGTGAAAGGGTTAACTGGAACACAGAACAAAAATACAGTAGTTTATGTCAGATACTACCACAATAGTGTTTACAAACATTCTGTTAAGTGTATTTACAATGTCGCAATTATATGCTTTTTAAATAAAGACAGTTTCAGGCATGAGCGAACCCACTTGCTCGACGCCCAGGACAAGTGTTTTTTACGGTTGGGCAACAAGAATTTTAGGGACCACTTGTCCGTGGATAAGCACTTTTAGAATAGGCTACTTCACCATGTAATGCTTTCATAGTACTTATAAAAAGTTCAACTCTTGACAATACGCAGCATATTTTATAAACAAATTGTCGGCGCACAAAGAGATATCAAACAGAAAACACTCCCGCGATATATTTAACGGTTTAAAAGAAAAAAATATAGGCCTGCTCAATTTAAAATGTGTTATTTTCTGCAGTAAAGTTTGAAAATGAATTCTAATTGTTAAATGTTAGCTAGATCTAGTAAAAAATACCAGACATATTTAAGGACTTTGGGCGCACAGCCATTAGTTGATTAGTTGAGTTGGATGACATAAAATGTCTGGACTTCAAGACTAGTAATTACTTTTGAATACGAATATGAACAGCAGCCATTAGGCCGACTTCAAAAAAGGCCTAGTCTATTTCGTTTGCACGTGTTGGGAAGGCAACATGGGTGGCTCCAGCAGGGGGAGGGGCCAGGGGTGAGAGTTTAGGGCCTATAAATGAATCAATTTCGCTGTCTCAGAGATTCTCTACTTTAAGAAAATTTAGGCCTTGATAGTAGGAACCCAAGTATTTACGATTCTGCGCATCTATTTTTCTAGAGGTTTTCCTGTGCAATTTCAATGAGTTTTTTTGTATCCTCCGCAAAAAAAATACATTTGAAGTAAGTATTGGAATTGATTAAGATCTGCAAATGGGTAAAAACATACGATATGACCAGCGTGTGGCTGAGAACTTTTGTATCGTGGGAATCAACCATACCTGAGAAGTTTTTCCTTGCAATTGCTTTTAAACACGTAATCAAAAAAACGATCAACACACTACATACTCTACATAGAATACTGTATTGTTAATTGTTAATTTTATTTGAATTTCTCCATATTATACATTATTGAAATTCTTGCAAGTTAAAAAAAGAAAGAAAAACATTTTTGCGTGATCAATGAAGTATGTATGTAGGCCTATTAATCTTGTAGGGCCATAGCAAAAATACTTTACTTTTGTATTATTTTTTATGATTATTGTGCAATGATATTGGGACAAGTAAAATTGTCTTCAAGACAAGTGCATTTTTTTAAAGGTACTTGTCCGGGGACAAGTGAAAAAATATGAAATTCCCTCATGCCTGAGTTTCTTAGCATTTTTATATCATCGCTAATTGTGTTCCAAAGTTTTGCACCTCTTATGACGAGCTTCTCTTTTTGTAGTCAGTTTTTGGTTTTGGCAATATTAATTCAGGTTTAGTTCTTTACTGTATATCATAGTAATTATTTGTAAAGACAAATCTGTTTGCATTGGACATCTTTGGGAAGAATTTGGCTGGCTTTTTTTAAATAGTACAAGCTCTGCAAAGCCTTTAATTTTACATTATCTCTTTGTGGACACCAAGAAAGGTTGAGTATTACACCAAGGTGTTTACATTGACTGACAAGATTAATAGGCTCTCCATCAATGTTAATATTTATTTGATCATTTGATAATTTAGCTACTCAAGAGGCTAGCCTTTAAGGAGGCCCCCCCCCCCCCTAAACTGCAGTTACTTTCACTGTATTTTCAGGTGCCAACCGGTTGATGTCAAGCCACATTCATAAATCTCCGATTAGATGCAGCAGACTGAAAGTAAGTTTAAGCAGACCTAAACCGCAACAGTATAAAAATTGTATGGGTATGCCAATGTTAACCATCTGGATACCGGATTCTTTTGTAGTGCAAACCCTTGAATACCGGATTCTTTTGCAGTGTAAAAAGGTTTTTTGCGTTTTTTGAGTATACGTTCTGGTGGATTTTGGGGAACTTTCTGTAAATTATACAGAAAAATGTTTCTAAAAACAAAGAAAGCTTATAGAATAAGCTTTCATTTGATGTATAATTTATATTTTTGGGAATTTTTTTTTCATAATATAATATAATATAATAAAAATATAAAAAAAATAAAAAAAAAAGGCAACAAAAAAATCATCAGAAAAAAAAAAAAAAAAAAAAATTATAGCCCAAAAAAAATAAAAACAACTATAAAACATTCCTATTCCACACAGCTATATAATTTATTTACCCAACCATCCATAACTATAAGCACGATCTTTCCATTCAAAAGCGTCGACCACCCTCGCATTACTAGGCCTATGCTCATCTTCATCAAGAACATCTCCACCGTCAGAACTGCTTGAAGCCCCACTGTCATCATCGCTAACAGACACGTCTAAGTCTTGCACATCTAAAAATTCACTTTACAGTGAGCACCGTGTTTTAACTTCTATAGGTAGGAGTGATGCTTTGCCCTACTAGGCGAACCACTAGACTTCTGAGCTTGCGCTTAGTGACTATGTTCAATGAAATTAGGAATCACTTTTTATCACAGAACCCAAAAAAACGGGCATTAAAAATCATAAAGGGAATAAATATAATTATTATGACAAGGCTCTTAAATTACTCAATGTCAAGAAATTCAGTTATAGAAGATTCAACCTATCTAAAAAGTTGGCTACAAATCTTAGTAAACATCCATTATTCCATAATTGGATCCCAAAACAACAAAAAAATGAAATATATACCTTATGGCCAAGAAATTCAAATAAACACTTCCAAATAAGATGCAAAACTGAAAGATATCAGTCCCATCCCATACTTTATTAAGTTACTCAACCAATTATTCAACAACTCAATTATCATATTCGCTTATTGTTTGCTGTTTCTCATGGACTGCTATGTTTTAGGGGAGGGGTTACATGCAGGGTGAGTTTGCGTACCCATGGTTATGAATGCACGCTTGGATTTTTGTTTTTCTATATTTTAATCTTTTGATGTATTTTTGTGCAATATTGTTTTTTTGTGACTGCCCTTTTGCTGTTTGTGAGTTATATTAGCATTTTTCCTATTCTGTAAACGATTTGCAATTCAGGGAGATTTCCCTACAATTTATTTTTTGGCAATTTTGAATTATCAAGTAATGGAATGTTTCATTGTATTTTAATTGTTGCTTTTGTAATTCAATTTTGAATAAAAAACCAGGAATGAAAAAAATATTAATGAATCTGATCCCCAAGTAGCAGCGAGTATGTACTGCAAATGCAATTTGCAAAACATCACTCCTATGATATTTTTCTGACAAAAAACCCATCGAAATTGGATTGGATTGGATTCAAAACTAGTCACTAAGCGCAAACTTAGTGACTAGTTTCGTGGTTATGTCCAGGCTAGTTATCTGGAGGTCGTGTTTTGTTCACGAATCTCAACCGAATTACTTTTACTTTTACTATTTGGCACAATAACATGTCAGGTAGGGCAAAAAAATCACTCTTATGATATTTTTCTGATGCAAACTCACATCAAAAGTACATTGTCATCTTATTGTGTTGTTTTTATTTTTCAAAGGTTCCTGGAGTGGTGGATGAAAAAAAATTGATTAGGGTGGAACAAACTATCTCTGCCCTTTTGCCGGATATTGTATATTGTTTCAAACAAACATGGAATGTGATAACCTTGAATGGTGATGAATTCATTATTGATTTCAATTATCAACAAATTCTTCCTAAATTAGCAGAATATGTTAAACAAAAACTAATTAAGAAGTACAGTAGCTGTCCTGAATCAACTTCTCAAGCGAGTGACAGTGAATCTCAGCAAATTCCAAATCAGCCAGATAATGATTTCGGTGAGTTATATAAAATCTAAATTGATGTTGATATATTGGTATTGATAAACAATTGACAAAAAAATAAATTATACAGCCTATACAATTCTAGATGAACAAATCTGTATTATTATTTATAGACAGAAAGTAAAATTAGAATTGTTTTTTATATTGTATTTAATTATAACAATTTATCATCATCAATTGGTATTGATAAAAAAATAAAATGAGTGACCGCTATAATTCAGATGATAATAATTATAGGTAGAAGGTAAAACTATTAAAAAATTTTTAACTTGGTAATATTCATAAAGTTCTGTTTTGTTTGTTGATCTTATAGGAACAAATTCAAGCCACAGTGACAAGAAAGAGTCTATTAATGGCGGAAAGGATGAAATAAAAACCAATAAGTCTGCTGAATGTGTTTCAGAAGAACTAGAAAGTACTATAGGTGAACAATGCAAACGACACGGACTTGATGAAAAGGATAAGACACCTAATCAGTCTGAACCTATTCAAACCAAAAGCAGCAAAATATGTAATAGCCAAGGAAAGAAAAGAAAAAGTAGTGTTACTGAGGAGGAAGCTCAAATACAAGATGAAGATAGCATTGAAAATTGTGATAATCCTAGTAGTAAAGATGGAATAATCAAAAGGCATAAGAAAGTGGATGCTCCACAAAACCTCCCTGCTAAATGCAATATTGCTGAAGGTAATAAAGTGAGTGTACAAAATTATGACACTCAGAAAGAACAAGCCAGGGATCAAATGAATGACAAATGTTGCCATATTAGTGAAAGTGAAGATATTACAGGAAAGATTGAAGATACTCAAGGCCAGCATGGAGATCAAAATATAGATACAGAAGGCAAGAGACAAAAGTATTTCCAGGATGATCATCACACAAGACAAGATAAAATTGAGAAAGAGAACAGAGATGATCAAGGCCAACAATCAGGTCAGAATAAAGATGCAAAAGGCAAGATGCAGATTGATTCACAGGATCATCACAAAAGCCAAAGTCAAATTGACAAAGAGGAGAGCAGACATGATGAAGTCAAACATGCAGGTCAGAATAGAGATACAAATGGCAAGCAACAAAATGATTCTCAAGACCATCACACTAGTCAAAGTGAAATTGCGAAAGAGAACACAGATAATCAAGACCAACAAGCAGGTCAGAATAAAGATACAAAGGACAAGAGACAAAAGGATTCCCACGATCATGACACCAGTCCAAGTGAAATTGAAAAAGAGAACACAGATAATCAAGGCCAACAAGCAGGTCAGAATAAAGATATAAAGGACAAGAGACGAAAGGATTCCCAGGATCATCACACCAGTCCAAGTGAAATTTCGAAAGAGAACAGAGATGATTCATGCCAACACGCAGGTCAGAATAAGGATACAAAAGTCAAGAGACGCAGGGATTCCCAGGATTGTCACACTTGTCAAAGTGCAATTGAAAAAGTGATCATAGATGATCAAGTTCATAAAGCAGGTCAGAATAAAGATTCAAAGAGTAAGAAACAAAAGGATTCCCAGGATCATCACATCAGTCAATACCAACAAGCAGGTCAGAATAAAGGTACAGAATACAAGAAACAAAAGGATTCCCAGGATTATCACATCAGTCCATGTGAAATTGAGAAAGACAACAGAGATGTTCAAGACCAACAAGCAGGTCAAAATAAAGATCTAAAGGAAAAGAAACAAAACAATCCCCATAACCATCACACCAGTCAAATTAAAATTAAGGAGAGCAAAGATGATGAAGTCAAACATGCAGGTCAGAATATAAATACAAAAGACAAGAGCCAAAATGATTCCAAGGATCATCACACTAGTCAAAGTGGGAAAAAAGAGAACAAAGATGATCAAGGCCACCATGTAGGCCAGAATGAAGATAAAAAGGGCAAGGGCCAACAAGATTACCAGAAGAATCTCACCAGTCAAAGTAAAATGGATAAAGAGGAGAATGAACAAAAGAAAATTGATGGCAGGAAAAAACAAGGAAATGGTCAACATCACCAAGCCAAACAGAGACTAGATAATGATGGAGGTAAAGTGAAACCTACAGCAGAAAAGAAACATGAGTTGAAGCAATCTCAAAAAGATAAGAGAATAAACTATTTGACAGTACATAATGAGGTCTATCAATTCCTAAAACAATTTCAAGAAATGAAGCTGAAGAAAATAGAAAGAAATTATAATGTCAGCATCAAATGGATGAAAGATGAAACTCAACAGAATCTTGTAGTTCTGTCAAATATTTTTAACGATGAAGAAAGAATGACTGCAGAGAATGAATTTATTCAACTGTACCAAGATGTTTCAAACAGTGTTAAGTTACAGAACATTCCAGTGCAAAATCATAAGTCATCTGATATCAAACAGTCTCTCAAAAGAACAATGCAAGAAAGTAAAAATGTTTTGCTTCTACATAAAGATAACAATGTTTTATTTATTGGTGATGAAAATGATGTAACCCAGGCAAAGAAAATCTTCAAAGGGCTCCTAGGAATTCCTGCTGAAGAAAAACGTCTAAAAAAATCAGTTAAGGAAACTGAAAAATCATCTGGAAGTTCATCAAAAATTACAGTTGGAAAAGGAGTCAAAGTCATCGTCAGACAAGCTGACATCACCAGTGAAGATGTTGATGTGATTGTCAATGCAGCCAATAGTAGACTTAAGCATGATGGAGGTGTTGCAAAAGCTATTGCTGTGAAAGCTGGTAGAGCTTTAGATGTTGAAGGTCAAAGGAAACTAAGAGAAAGAGGAAGTGCCTTGAATGTGTCAGAGGTTTTACACACCGGTGGTTACAATCTGAATGCAAAATATGTTTTGCATGCAGTTGGACCAATACGACAGCATGCAAATTGGCATAAACATGACCAATTTTATCAATTGCTTAAAGACACTTTCTTTAATTGCCTGGAATATGCAGATGAAGAGCTTAAAGCAAAGAGAATTGCAATTCCACTAATTAGCTCCGGAAACTTTGGAGGAGGAAAACGTGAATGTGCAAAAGCATTGGCAACTTCTGTGAATGATTTTGCGCAAATAGACAAATTAAGAAGCTTGAAAGAAATTAGACTTGTCAATATTGATGCCGAGGCAACTCAAGAAATTCAGACTCAGATTGATGCAATCAGAGATGTCCCAAGATCCCAGTGTATTGCAGTTGCAGGAAACATTAACAATGTAAGTGAGCAACTTTTCAAACTAGTTTTATTTTTAGGCAACAGAAGAAGTATTTAAAAAAAAAAATCTATTCTACAATTTAGAAAACATGTAAACACTTGAAATTATATTTATTCATACTCAAATATTCAAATTAATATATTAGATAATGCACAAATTCTGACCAGTAGTAGTGATAATGTATAAGACAAGTAATGACAATGATATGATAATTATGTAATTGTCATGACAAATTAATGGTTTTAAAAAGTGGTGAGCTATGAAAGGGTGGTATTTCAAATACCAAATGTACAGGTCTTAAATGAAGCAGCTTATAGTCTTGAACATTTTGACACCTTTTTGAGAAAATCGGTTAAAAAATGGAACAGTGCAGGCCAAAATGTTTTTGGGGCCAAGGAATTGATTAGTGGTGTCAGAAATAGCTTAAAATTAATTATAGTGGTCAATTTTCAAATTTTATGAATTTCTTTTTATGAATACAAGATACACACTCTAGTATGAGAAATAGGTTCCGTAATTTATGTATTTTTTTTTCTTAATCATTGTAGCATTAGCAATGACCTCCACCAGCTTAATTAAATTTACAAAACATTTTAACAAGCATTATAAATAGGCTTATGTGTATCTTATTTTTGATGACTGATAATGTATACAATATTGACTATTATAGACATGCTATACTGTATAACCATAATGTTGCAACACATAGAAGGTTTATCAGGTAACACTAATTTTAGAGGCATTTGCTTATCTACAGACTATGCACTCAATGAAACAATAAACAATTGTATTTATTGTACAGTATAATGATTAACAAGACTACACAACTAGCTCACTGAAATCCCAGGATTTAATAACTTTTTTTGTAGCATTTTGTGTAGCTTTGTAGAATGCGAGTATCAGCTAAATAGCCACTCTGAGTGCAGAACTAGAGGACTGAAATGTGCCTCAGAAGAGTCGTTTAAACCCTGTTCAATGTGCATGGAAAAGAATGCACTTGTTTGGAAAATACTGAGGTTGGTCTCTTGCTGGACTAGCCAATCACCACCTGAAGGACACCATTGAAAATAAGCGCATAGACTGGGTGGGTCTGTTACCCTTGGTGTTCAGTAGATAATCAAATACACTACCCCTGAAATTGTTCTTATTGATAAACCTTCAGTGTGTTGCAAAATTATTGCTATTGTACTATACTCTACAGTACATACAGAATATCTAATGGTTTTTGATACTGTACGCACATTATGTGTCATCAAAACTAAGATACGTGTAGCCTTATTTATAATGCTCATTAAAATGTTTTATGACTTGAAAAGTATATCAAGAATGGAAATATTGCTACAATGATTATTGATGGAAAAAAAAGAGTTAAAACTGTGCCTATTTTTTCGTACAATACGTAACTTGTACTAACTGTAACACCAAAAAACAAATTAATAAAATATAAAATTTGACCACTATAATTACATTTTTAAGTATTTCTGACACTATTAAGAAGTTTCTTAACCTCAAAAACATAGACACGACTTCAGTTAATTAATTATTATTAATTTACTATTATTTTTTTAATGTTTAAACGAAAAAGGGGTGCTCAGGCACATCACTGCATTACAGACTCTTTGTTTATTAAATTTACTAGATTACAGATTTATCCAATGCTGTAATAGTGAATGGGTTTAAAGTCTGCAAATCACTGGAAGAAACTAAATTAAATCTGGTAATGCTTCTTCTTAAATGCACATATGGAAAAGGTCGAGTACTGCAAGTCATTTATCCAGTTGAGAAATTGCCAAGGAAAGCAATTATTATATTTGAAGAACTGAGAAGTAAGTGCATTTTAATTTATTGGATTTATTTATTTCATATTTTAACAGGAAGTGTAGTAATGTTAAGGAGAAAAAATAAGTTATTTTCAACAATGATAGGTCTAATAATAATAATAATAATAATAGTAATATTTATGGGTAGTGCACATGCAGAGGCAGATATATATGTTTTCTGCCAGGGTGGGAGGAGGTGGAATGCAACAGAAAGACCCCCCCCCCCCATGGTTTGATCTGAGATGAATCAATTTTAAGAATATGCACTACAATAGACTAAAATTACTTTATTTGTCAATCTTCAACCAAATTTTTATATTGGCTGTATAGGAATAAAGTAAGAAGAAAATACCAGTTTTTAATTTTAAGTATGACTTTTTATTTGCATGTTGATCTATTTCATGTATTGCTCCAGCTAGTCGAGCCTATTATTATACCGTAACAAGGACTGAAAAAATGTCTTCAGTCACCTTCTATTGGCTTTTTTGGACATACTTTTTCTTATTTTTTATTTCCCTCACATCCAACAGCAAGTACACTCACCACTTTCAGGATGAGAATGATGCCAAACTAAGCCTCTTTCTGGGGCTTAGGGAGTGGAGCTGTTTTTTAGTCGTAAGAAAAATTCCTGCTGTGACAGGAATCCAACCCAACATCCTGGAATCAGAAGGCAAGCATCTTAACCACTGTGCTCCACTCCACTCCTGACAAGTCATTAGTCAAAATCGGTGTTGGGGATCAGTGCCGTAACTACGCAGGTTAATTGAAGTGGGCCCCCGAGCTCCAAGGGCTCTGATCAAAAGCCGTGCCCCCTTCTCAAAAAAATGTTAAAGCAATGTTTTATTGTGACATTTAACTAGTTTTCTTTCCGCCAAGTAATTTTGGAACCACAAAAATTTGTTTCCTTTATATCCATAGTTTTCAGTTTTTTTCTAGTAGTAATAAATGAGGCATGTTGTGGCAAAATGGCTAAGTTGTAGCAAAAATTGAAATTCAAGTTATTGGTATTTTCAAATACCTGAGTATGTGATCTTTAAAATGAGGGGTCATTCATTCAAATTGGACATTTCAAACCAAAGTTATTGGAAAGTGAATGTACAGTACTCTTAGAGTCAAGATAAATAGGATTTTGAGTAATTGCCTTTCAAAGGTATTTGTGCATACATTGTTTAATATAATGAACTATGAAAAATAACGTTAAATAAACAATTTGTTAACCACTTCCAGAACTAATACTTTCAGACATGATTAATAAGACATTAAACTGTTGACTTATAGTGAAAAACAAATTTGGATTTTTTAGCAATTTTTTGAGCTCCCATATTTTATACTGTAGCTCATTTACTCAATACTGGACTGTGCGACAACTTTACCATTTCGCACAACATGCCTCAAATGTGTGATTTATTGTGTCAAAACACTGTGCAATATCCATAAAGCATGTGGCTATCATTTACATGATTAAGGCCTTAACATTTGAGTGGTACTTCCTGAAAGCTTATTGGTCAACATTTAATTAAAAGGCCATTTTCATTGAGATCAGTGGCATAAGGCCTCTGCTCTCATGCGGTGCGCCGTTTGGCCCTGGGGGCCTGGGGTCCCTCTCATATTGTCCTCGCCCTAGCACCCTGATATAAAAGAGCTTTGTTGATAACATAACAGCATATTGTGTGTCTGACATTGACTGTAAGTAAGACATATTTTTTTATTCAGTAAATATTGAATGTGCTTTTTCTTTTGGTCTTTTCAAAGATACCCTCTAAGCTACATCTAAAAATCAATAATTTAAAAAATCTAAAGATTTATTGTTTAAATAGTACCAGTATTACAAGTCTGAGGAACCCTTGCTCCTAAACTAACCCATCGGCGGTAACATATATTAGTTAACATAGTCAGTTTGCATGTGTCAAGGGCCCTGACTATACTCTTGCCTATTTGCCAACCATCTCGCATCGTGCGGGACGGTCCTGCATTTTAAAGTGATTTTTTATGAAACACGCATTTTGCAGAAACACATGCGTGATCATATATTTGTCACGCATTTAACACAAGTCTATGCGTGATAATGAATTATCACGCATAGACACCCGCTCCGCCCGGCACCCCTAGGAGCCATGTTGGCCCCAGGGCCCTGTTGGCCCCCGTCCCCAAGCCAAACTGGTGTGTTGTCATGCATTTCAAATCTCTCAAGTTGGTAACTATGGTCTTGAACCAGGGCCCCCTCACAACCTACAGTAGTTACGCCACTGTGATGGAATAGCTTTGTGTTCACCGTAATTCAATGTAATAGAAAATTCAAAAATAGCAGTAAAATATGAGTTGTATAAATCATGTTAAGCCAAGAAAGTAAGGATTATTTCTCACCAGTATATTCAATATTATACTACACTTGAAGCAAAATGAAGTTTTTTGATCAAAATGTGAGTTGTCAAAACAGAGCACTAGGAAGAAGACTAAAGCTCTATCCACACTATCAAATTTACTTTGACAAAAAAATGTGACAAGCCCATATATAGTAATGCTATGCCTATATATGGTCATGGTGTGATGTCATCATGCCCATATATGGGCATATCACACTTTTTTGTCACACAAAATTTGATAGTGTAGACAGAGCTTAACATTAGAAAGTGTTTAGTCATCAAACTTGCACACATAAACCTTCGTGTAAAAGTGGTGTGGCTGTTGACAGTTTTTACGAACTGGTGTGTTCAGCACCAAATCAAATTCAAAAGTTATTAATTTCACTATTGCCGAAAAATTGTTGACAGCTCAGCAGTGCTGAATATTTTTATAGCCCTCATTAGTATGGGCTCAAATTAAATGATAAATTAACTACCACCAATCATATTTCATTATAATTCAACAGATATACCCTGCATGACACACCTTTTCATTCACTATCAGTGTTATTATTTTCTTACAAGTTGCTAAACCTTTAATCGATGATGGAGAATCAACTACTAATACTCAACAAAATCTATTGTTCCAATCTATTGAAGTAAGTGACATTCAATTTTTGTTAAAATAGGATTTGTTTTACATATATGCATTGAATAAAGAAGTACTCTTCATCATTAATCGTTTTGTATTATAAGTCTAGGGAACCAAGTTACCTGAGTTTGTTTATGTTTAATTTTTCCCAAAAATTATTGGTATGTGCCCTATTGTTGAGCAGAAACATGTTGATTATAAGCTTCATATATTTTATTAGATGCATTACTGCATTTGTATTACAAATTATTGTCCATTTTTATGTCTGCATGGTTGTAGTTTCTTTTCAAAGGATATCCATTTAAAACCCTATATGTTTAACAAATTATAATTTCAATTATCAATCAATTAAATTCAGGTTTTATGGTCCAAAAATGGAAATACAGGCTTCTTTTTATGTGACCTCTGTATGTTGTAGTGGGGCTGTATACTGACTTGCATGAGAAGATTGTTTCATGTTTATTATAAACTTCAGTAGACATTGTGTAGTTTAATATTTAAAATTTGATATCTTGATAATGAAATTTAGAGTTTTATGAACTACAGTAGTCCACATTAAGCACGTTTTTCTCAAAATGCTGTTTTGGTCGAAATTGAAGTTTGACACTCTTCCTCTTATTATTATTGTTAGATAAATAAGGCCTAACTTGGTTTAAAATTTTGAATATTTTGACATATTTTAAAGATAACATTAAACAATTCAAATGTTCAATTTCAATTTCTTTTCTTAACTTTAACTAACCTGTTAATTAGCATGAACAGTTTGTGTCTGCTCGTGAAAACATTCAGAATGCATGCAGCATATGTTGCTTGTGTCTCTTTGTGAAAACATATACATATACAGTATATATATATATATATACACATATACATAAGTGTGTTAAGTCACTTCTCTGTTCTTCTATTATTATTATCATTCTCTCTTGATGAAGTAACTCTTCTTGAAGTAATAACTTTCATTCTTTGCCTTGTTTTATATTCTGTACTAATTTGTACCAAATTCCTTAACATCTGCTTTCTGCATAAACCACCATATGTACCTACCATACCAGCAAATCATTACAATTCCATCATAATATTGTGGTCTAAAAGTACAGTTTGGGCCAAACTAAGCCACAAAACTCTCCCTGTGAACCCTGGGATTTTTTAATTATTTTTTTACTGTAAAGAATGTTATACACAAATTGCTATAATATTGTATTCGAATTATATTGATGTTGCTGTTGATAATGACTTTGCTTTATTGTGACATTGTAAATATGAGCAAAAAAGTCAAGTACTGGTAGGCCTATTCGGCATAGTGGTTTATTGCACTTTCTATTTTTGAGGGCTGGAAAAGCATCTGGTTTATCAACTTTATTTATTGTCATTGCTGATTTTCCGGTCCAATTTATTGCGGATAATCCAAATGATAAAGTAATTATGCAACTGTAGAGAACATTTTTAAAAGTTGTACCGGGAATTTACACAGAGGATGCACTGATACGTTTTTGTTTTCAAACAACTCTATTTTATCAGCTTCACTATAAAAAAAACTCATATTTTTATTTGCAGGTAGGCATTCACTGGGAAGCAAGTATCCTGGACTTAAGTATGATTCCGTCAAGTATCTTTAACAGATTTCCAGTAAGATGTGAGGATCTAGGTGGTGGGAGGCTGTTGTTGGAGAGTCAACAGAGTACAGAGGAAATAGAAACTTATTTCAATAATGAACTTGAGAAGTGGCTTAATACTCAAGTTGATGGAGTAGATCAGGATAGTAGTGTTCATTGTGATGCCAAGGTACAGTATGTTTTATTTTAATTAATTTGAAATGTTCATTTTATACTAGGATTTGTTATTCAATTTTTTATGTCAAAAATATCCTCTATAGTGCTGTGTTGCACTTGCATAAGTAAATTGGTAGTCAGTGTCAGTTGGTCAATATTTTTTTATATGGGGGCCTAGGCCTGAATGTAGGGGCACTGCCAACCATCACTCATCATTTTGGTTGGTATAATGGCAACTACAGGGCTAATGTCAGTGGCTAAGGTATCAATTATTTTTTTAAAGGTTGATATTTTGCTATAAAACAAAGCGGACTCAAGATTTTGGATAGTTTGTTTTGAGCAATACAAGAATGGGAGATAAGTAATAATTAAATTTAAAGCATTATGAAATAAAGATGTGGTTTATTAGATAGTGAAGGAGACCTGAAAATATACAAATTGCATTAGTGAATATGGTAGTTTCTTGTAGATAGGGCAATTCCAAAAAAAAATCTACTCCAGCCACCAGTACAGACGAGGACTTAAAACTGCTTACCAATATGAACACTACTTTTTCAAATTATTCTCCATTCAAATGCCAATAATTTATTATTTACAGGGAAAATTCAGCATATCTCAGTGTGTGATTGTGACAGGATTTGAAGAGTTTCGAAGTCAAGCGACAACAAGAGATAAACTACTAATATTTCTGTCCAGACAGAAATATGGGGGTGGTGATGTTGAGGGAATTGTGTATCCATTTGGAAATTCAACAAAAAAAGCAATGGTAATTTTCAGCGACACAAAAGGTAACAAAATTTTAGTTTTGTTTGTTGAAATATTTTGTGATTTGTGATACTAATAAATCATCATCTTTATAGCGGTCTGAAATGGCATGTATAATTGTTATTATACATGCCCTTTTTATCGGTCAATTTGGGTGTTTAAACTAAAAAGCAAGAACAAATCTTTTGTTTTTATCCACAACTTCAAAATATTTGTGAAAATTAAATGGCCATACTCATAAAGAATGACTCACAAACAGCTCAAAACAATTTTGATAATAAAAAGGATATGTGAACAACCCTTCCAAACATTTTTAGACAACCTTCCTTCGCCGACCGCCAGGTCGCACTAAAAACATTGTCCTCAATCAGCAAAATAATTATTAGTAGTAGGATGGCATTCCCCTAAGCCGAATGTTTTTGATTACATTTTTATAATCTGCAGTTTTAACAATTAAAAAAAAAGTTCTTTTTTTTATTTGATAGTTGCGAGGTCTTTGATAGAAGCCAGTGAAATGTCTGATGGTAAAGGACAGAGTCTTGAAATATATCCTTTCAAAAAAGTGAGTTTAAAAATGAAATAACCCATCAGCAACTTTGAAAGTTTTCTTTCATTCAATTTATTTAAAAAAAAAAAAAAAAAATTGACTTAGAAGGTGTGATGCAAAAAGTAGAAATAACAGCAACAACAGATTTGGCATGGGTATACTGACAGGAAATAGATCTGACTAATAGTATTCATAAAAATACCAAGGCTAAGTATTACATTTAATTTTTATACAAAGGTTATTAAATATTTATTGCATATTGGTGGAATATGATCCATTTCATTGCTTCTATAAATATTATCATATATATATATATATATG